AGCCTCGGTTCTACTTCCAAGCACCCTGTTCAGTTCCGGGTGTCGAAGGAAATGTGTTTGTTGTGGATACTGGGATACTGGGCCCGCAGTTTCCCCCAGCCAACGGATATCGTTCCTGGGGGCGGTTTTTGACTCGGTCCAAATGAGTTGAAGCCTCTCGCCCTCTCAAGACATTTCAGAAGATGCTGGGCCTCATGGCCTCTGCATCTCCGGTGCTACAGCTGGGCCTGCTTCGTATGCGGCCCCTTCAGTACTGGCTGACATAAACTTACATTGTAAAGAAATTAAAGTTCCATCTTTGATTGTTGAAAGACTTTCTGGTGCATTTCACTTTCAGCCAATACAATTTACAGTAGGATTTTCATCGATCAGGCGTGGATCTATTCTAAATGGTTGATAACTTTTGACAAAGTTTAATCCAGGAGCAAAGAGAAATAATTTCTACTTTAAAAGTACGGATAGATCGCGATTGCACAGTCTGCGTGCGCACAAGCAATATCGGACTGAGGACAGGCAGTTCATTTGTATAAGTTAGGCCTATTTGAGAGCTCGCATCCAGTTTTCTGTGGTTACATGACTGTGTTCTCATGTTACAATAAAGTGCTCGCCACATTTGCGCGGGAATGATTAAAATTATGCGGAATACCTGCAATCCCGTGCGGACATTCAGACTCTGTAATCGACAGGAGGCGGACGCGTATCAAACTCACTGTCGGAGAGAGAGACGCAGCTTGCATCGGTGTATATTCGGTAGATACTGTGGAAAATGAGTAGGTCTAATGGAACCGTGTCAGATATTTCAGTATCGGTATCAAAATATAGATATTTATTTTAGTTTCTCCAAACTTTGAGTCCATAAATTACGCTGAGCGCCCTCACTCTGATCAGCTCTTCTTCTGCTGCAGTGGTGGCTTTACCCGGGCTTTTATTGGTCCCTTTACGATCGGATATCTTTATTGGCTACTGAAGTGCCATCAAAGGTTTGAATATCAATTAAAATTGTGGGCGTACTCAGTAATGAACTATGATTTAAAAGTAACGAAGTAGATTATTTTGCTTAATTTGTACTTAGCTTTAAAAATATACTCAAAAAAGTACAAGTTCCCGAAAAAACTACATAATTACAGTAACGTGAGTAGTTGTAATTCATTACCTCCACCACTGTAGATACTACACTCGTACTGTGTCACTAGACGCTATGGGAAAAAGTAATTTTTATTGGTTTGTGTAGTGAAAATAAAAACAAACCAATGGCGAGTCAGCGGAGCTGCACAAGCCTATAACCATGAAGCCCGCCAATATGGGCGGGGCCATCTGGCTACAAAAGCAGGCATTCTGGCATAGGACCCTTAGATTTCTTCTCCTTCAGCGACGACCACGATCTTCGCTGTACGACACTCGAAGCCTTCGCTGTTGACGAGCCTTGCAGCGGATCAAGACCTCTCTCTCTGCTTGGCTGATTCACTGTTCTCGCAAGCCGCCTTCAGCATCTGCAGCAGCTGCGGTCTCAGTGATCCCCTGCTGCCATCCGGCGATATTTAAAAGAGCAAATTTTAAAGAGCAATTTTCTTCTGCTTTGATGCAAATGCCGCTCCGTTATTGTGGCTCATGCAAGGCTCCCTTACATGCCGCTGACGGTCACAATGAGTGCGCGTTTCTTGCTTGGGGAAATACCACTCTGAAGCCGCGCTCTCTTAGATGGAGTGTTCCCACTGCGGCAACATGAGTCTCGTCTCTCTGCGCTCGTGGATAGCTTTCTTTTCAGAAAGCGACCCCGCCTCTTGCGCCCTCCCGTTTTCTTCCTCCCAGAAACCTGTGAAAAAACAGCGGGGCAGAGGACCTCAGCGCTCTGAGATGAGTGAGCACACACTGGCTCAGACCCCACGTGCCTCGCTCTCTCCCCACAGAGAGACTCCTCCCATCCTCTTCTCCCACCTAGACCAGAGTCCCTCTGCTGCTGCGAGCGACTTGGTCTCATTCATTGGAAGCGAAGACTATCCCCTGGATGACAGCATGTCATTGGTGGCCTCAGATGCTGAGGAGCTGTCAGCCTCAACGATCGACCCCGTCTACCGAGCCCAGCGAAAACAAGGCAGGCATTGACTCCGAGCTTCTCCACATCCTGTCTAAGGCTGTTGAGGTGCTGGGTTTGGAGTGGTCTCCGCCGGAGGAGCCCACCTGCAGCCACCTAGACAAATGGTTCCTGCCCGGGTGCCGCCAGGCCCCTCATCAGCGAGCCTCTCCGTTCTTCCTGGAGGTCCATGATGAGCTCACCAAGTCGTGGCATGCCCCCTACTCTGCTTGACTGCGTACTTCCATTTTGTCCGGCCTCACATCGATCGACGGCGGTGAAGAGAGGGGGTACGAAAGACTGCCTCCCCTGTATGAGTCTGTGGCCGCGCACCTCTGCCCGCCCACGGCCATCAGATGGAAGGCAAAGGTGGCCCACCCGTCCAAGCCGTGTAGGATGACTTCAGCCCTCGCTGGACGAGCTTACTCTTTGGCTGGACAAGCCACCTCAGCGATTCACTCCATGATGGTCCTCCAGGTCTTTTAGGCTAAACTCCTCTGATGCATGGACAAAAGAACTGCGCTGTGTTCAAAGAAGACCAAGGCCACGGCTCAGGCGATTGGCAGGTCTATGGCCAGCCTAGTGGTGCTCGAGTGCCACTTATGGCTGAACCTTACGGAAATCAAGGACGCGGATAAGGTCCCCTTCCTTGACTCCCTGGTTTCCCCCACTGGCCTATTCGGACCCGCGGTGGAGGGTTTTGCGGCGCGCTTCACCGCTGCACAGAAATCATCCCAGGCGATGCGACACTTCTTACCCAAGTGCTCCTGCTCAGCAGATGTTTCCAGTCACCCCACCTCCAATGGCCCAGCCATCTCCCAAGTCTGAGCCTCGATAGCGCTCCCGCTCGGCTAGACGCTACCTGTTTCCCAAGCACCAAGAACCCCCGCCCAAGATGGCGCTGGACCCCGCACCTCCAACATCGTCCTGATCTATGGGACAGGAAGAGGAGAGGGATACGTCTCGCTGCAGCCGGATGTGTTTGTTGTGGATACTGGGATACTGGGCCCGCAGTTTCCCCCAGCCAACGGATATCGTTCCTGGGGGCGGTTTTTGACTCGGTCCAAATGAGTTGAAGCCTCTCGCCCTCTCAAGACATTTCAGAAGATGCTGGGCCTCATGGCCTCTGCATCTCCGGTGCTACAGCTGGGCCTGCTTCATATGCAACCCCTTCAGTACTGGCTGAAACCACAAGTTCCGTCCCACACTTGGTGTCACGGACGCCTGTATATCAAGGTGGACCAGGCCTGTGTTGCAGCTCTGGCTCCTTGGAAAGACACTCAGTGGATGCATCAGGGCTTGGCTCTGGGAATGGTCTGCAGAAGGATGGCTGTCTCAACAGATGACCGGCAAACCGGCTTTCGACCCATGGTTGAAAGAGGAGGTCGGCTATACATCAACTGCCTGGGAATGCTGGCAGTGTGTCGAGGCCTTCAGTCCTTTTTGCCAGACCTAAAAGGGTCACCACGTTCTTGTCTTCTCAGACAGCATGACGTGTTATTGTATATAAATCACCAGAGAGGGCTCTCCTCGAGCTGCCTCTTCATTCTGGTGGAGCACCTCTTGGTATAGGCTCAGCTCAACTTGCATTCGCTGAGAGCAACGCATGTGCCGGGAGCATTGAACCAAGGAGCAGACATGCTGTCCTGGAGCAACATCCCCTCAGAAGAGTGGATGCTCCATCCGCAAACAGTTCAGAGAATTTGGGATATCTTTGGCAAGGCAGAGGTCAACCTCTTCACCTCAGAAGACAAATCTCATTGCCCAACCTATTTTTCAAAGAAAAGGGATGCGTTGGCTCACGACTGGTCCAACCTCCTCCTTTATGCTGTTCCCCCGATTGCCCGGATCCCTCAGGTAATCAGGAGAATCAGGGAGCAAGGACACAATGTTCTCCTAGTGGCCCCGCTCTGGAGGAACCAACATGGGTTCTCTGAGCTGTCTCGGCTGCTTGTTGCTGCCCCATGGCCCACTCCCCTGAGGCAGGACCCCCTCTCTCAGGTGAACAGGATGTTATGGCACCCCCAGCCCGAGCTGTGGGCTCTGCACCTCCGAACTCTCGATGGGAGCTCTCTGGCGGGCTTCGTGGCCGTAGGCTTGTGCAGCTCCGCTGACTTGGCATTGGTTTGTTTTTATTTTCACTGCACGAACCAATGGCCGTGCATTTACACTGCATTATTAAAAAAAGGCTACAGTATCGGAGAAAAAATTACCTTTTCCCATAGCGTCTAACGACGCAGTACTCGTTCCCTTATCTCAGAGAACCGAGGTTACGTTAGTAATTGAGTATGTTTACTTAATGTGCAGAAATACCTGCTGAATCTCCTATTATTCAGTTCAGAAACTTATTAGAAACTGCAAACAGACTGTGATGAGTGGGGCGGGGCCGAGAGCCATGGGAACGGAGCGAGGCCGGTGGAGTGAATGATAATGAGGGACACCTGCGCGGTGTCACACACTGGTCTCGAGTCCCACGGAGGAGCTCCGGAAGGATAAAAGGAGGAGTAACGACAGTGAAGGAGGAGAGAGGACCAAGCCTGGACTATTTATGTTGTTTGTGTTTGTGTCTATTTTCAGTTTTGTGTTTATTTTGTTGTTAAATTATGTTTAAATGTTTGCTGGTTCATGCCTCCTTCTTACCGATCTACAAACTTTGTTACATTGGTGCCGAAACCTGGGAGGAAGGAGGGACACACTTGACAGAGGCCTCGCTGCTGAGGGGGATCGCGGTGCTGAGGAGATACGGCAGCAGGCAGAAGCAGAGACTGCCAGTGGCTGCCCGAGGAGGTGGTGCTGGAATGATGGAAGACGAGGTGGGATGGAGGGCTCACTGCCGTGCTCCTGGATCGAGGAGGGGTGGATGCCGTCCGAGAGGGAGCGGAGGAGTCGGCAGCATTCGCCAAGAGGCCGGAGCCTGCTGTCGTCCGCCATGATTGAGGAGGAGCAGAGAACGGGGGACTCGCTGCCGGCTGCCCTCGACCGGAGGAGCCATCGCCAGGAGACACCAGGAGACACATGGCACCGCGAGTGAGAGCCTCTCAGCTCTTTGAAGACCAAGCGGCATAAAAGGAGGAGTAACAACAGTAAAGGACGAGAGAGGACCAGGCCTGGACTATTTATGTTGATTTGGTTCTGTTTGTTCTATTTTCAGTTTTGTGTTTATTTTGTTATTAAATTATGTTTAAATGTTCGTCGGTTCCCGCCTCCTTCTTCCTGATCTACGAACTTTGTCACACAGTTAAATCAGTATATTGTTTGCTGTGAATGAGTGAGTAAGATGATTTTCACATAATTTTGAAGCAAAAACTCGCAAAGACTTCAAGATCAGTTCTCAAAAGTCTTGTGATCAAATGTTCTGTATGTGTTTTATGGCCTTATTTCAGTGACTTTAAAATTGTAGTTTTTCACTAAGCACGCATAAACGTTGTTTTCTCAAAAACACAATCACGTACATACATGCTGCTCACATATTATTGTAGCCCAGTTTGTGCTGATTACGGTGTTATTAAACTTTAGACATTCAAATGTTTGTAAGCAACTGAAAAAAGCACAAATGTCAGGGCATGTCAAAACTTTTCCAGGGCCCCAAAACACCCTCGGACCCCAGAGGGTTAATATCAATCCACAAGAGCAAAAATCAGGTCAGTGGCGGGAAAGGCAAGAAAACTGCGTTTATCACTTCTCACCAGAGCTTGTTATACGCCTATGTCATCCGCTGGAACGCCACTCTCTTGTGAACATGCATACAACAGTTAGCGGAAGCTAGAGATTATGGTTTATAAAGATTTAAATATGGATATTTTTCTTACACAAACGCATCGATTCACTTCAGAAGGCCTTTATTAACCCCCTGGAGCTGTGTGGAGTACTTTTTATGATGGATGGACGCACTTCATTTCGCTTCAAAATCTGGACCACTACTCACTGCCATTATAAAGCTTGGAAGAGCCAGGACATTTTTTTATACGACTCCAAAAATTATTTATTTGTTTATTTGTTTTCCCTTGTTTAGAATGATCTGAATACAGTATTCATTCTGGTTTCAGAGTTCCAAGGACCCCATTCCAAAAGGATACCAGTTATGCATCACCGGGGCAGGCAGGTAAGCACAGGGTAGTTTCTCTATAGTGTTAAGATTTATTAAATGGAACAAGGCAAAACAAAAGGGCAGACAACAGAGACAGACCAAAACTAAAACAGAAGTTACAAGCAACAATGACTGGGGACAAGGGAAAACGATAAGGGGTGTAAATACACAGAGGGTGTTAGATTTTGCTGTATTTAGCTGAGCAAAGGTTTGGGTGGCTTGCCAATGTATTAGATTTCTCTAATACATAAAATAAGTAAGCTTGACCAGAGTTCTTGTGGGGAGAAGAATTTATTGAAGGTAGTAGTGTAGCACAGATCTTCAGCAGCAATGTCAGCGTGTCGGCCTTTAAATATCTTAACCCAAAGTTCGGTCTGTGGGAAAGAACTTTATACATGAAGATAAAAGGGATACAAACAATACAAAATTGTGAGGATGTTCCACAGGAGATTGGTCAACCCCGCAGTCAACACTGAAGTAGACCATTTTTTTGTTCCTATGGGCCATGTGTCAGTATGGGCCATTTGGTTTACACATTTACAGACACAGACAGTTGATTGTATAAAATTTACATAGACACAATTGACTGTATCTGAAGGACAGTCCCAATTTGAATGACACAGACTGTTAATTGCATCAAAGCCAGAGTTGATTGCATCTGACTAAAGACAAATAAAATACATATAATCTTTCAAGCTCTAAAAAGGAAACAAGGATCACTGGGAAGAAAGATGGTCTGATTAACAGAAAACTACACACTTACTACAAAAGGCACATAAAACAGGTACCTTTATAACATAAAAATCCAGAGATGACACAGGGGATATGTAAAAGGTTCAAATGAAGTGAAAGAATAAGATTATATTAAGAAAAAAATATTATTTGAAACTAACAATATCATCAACATTGGCTAGGTTTACATGCACAATTTTTGGTTAAATCGGACTGAATTCATTCCGATTGATGAATCTGAATGTAGTGTTTACATGAACGCTAAATAAAGTGATCGGGTTGATGTGCATGATTATATGTGACAAGCTTAAAATCTTAATAAATTTTTTTGACATGCGCACACTGCACAAATACAGAGTTTCTCACTGTTTGCACATAATAACCACTTTCCTACACGGCTTCTTTATTTGTTTTTAACAGCAAAATTTATATTTATTAATTTATGGATAAATGTAATATACATTTAAACCGCTGTGCCGTGCTGCTCATATTTATCACACAGTAAAAATGACCTTCCCCACGCCCAAAACGGGTTGCCTGTGGATGAGAATCCAAAACAAGGACTGGTGGGAGGTTGTCCTGCTCCACTTCACAGTTGCCGAGTGAAAGGAGAGTTACATGCGCAGTTCTTTCAGTTTCGGGGTTCAATCCGATCGAGTGTTTACATGCACTCTCAATCATATTAGAAAAGGAATAAACCACCCCCTTCAATCCGATCGAAATTTCATTCCGATTGAGCTCAATCAGATCGATTAAGGTATTTCCATGAAGGTTTTTCAGTCCGATTGAGCCGTCAATCCGATTACAAATGGATTATTTGGTTGCATGTAAACGTAGCCAATGTCACGGGTTGCTACTGTGTGGAAACGAAGGAGCGCAGAGACCTAGGAAACTTCTGGAATAACAGTCTTTATTTAATCCAAACCATGGGGAACACAGGACAGGCAGGAACACACATGTAGCACATGGAGTTGACGTTTAGGCAGGACACAGGACTCGGGAAAACACAAGGCTTACTTATGCCGAGTTCACACTGCACGATTTTCAAACTCGTCGGATCGCCGTTGTTTTCACACTGCGTGACTATCTGGGGTAGCATTCAGTTGCTGCTGTGTTCACAATAGGAAGAATCGCCGACAGCTCTGTCTTTACACACTGCATGACTTTACAATAGGAAGAATCGCCGACAACTCTGTCTGGTCCGCAAACTACGTTTCGCAACAAAACGCGAGCGAGAAGTGATAAGGAAATAACGCGAGAACCCGCGTGCGTCAGACCGGAATTTTCGAGCGACACTGGAATTATTTAAAAATATATATATAGCCCGCAAATTGTCTGTGAGCTGATTTCCAGCTACAAGGGAAAAAAAAAAGAAAAACAGATTATGCAGGAGGGAGATTCAGGGAACAGGGATTGGGTGTTCTGCAAAGAGAGTTGGAGGTAAATAATTTTGCAGTAGCCTACCTGTTATGCTGTTGTGGCTGGTCAAGCAAATGTTTGTGCTTGTTTCTGCATGATATAATTGTTAATATATCTATTAAAATACTGATATTCTGGTCTATAACTCCTCCCCGAACTTCCCGCTGCCCTGATTCCCTCAGATCGCGTCTTTGATAATTCACACTGCGTGATTGTCACTCGCGTGAACGAGCACCGATTTGCCTCCGATGTTGGGCATTTGTCGGCGATTTCGCAAAACCTGTCGGTGAGTGAAAAATCGGGCTAAAATCGTGCAGTGTGAACTCGGCATTAGGGAACGAGATGAGGAAATTAACAAGACACACCTGGAATAAATGAAACTAATGAGCATGAGGGAGAAACTAGGTCACAGGAGGGAACATGGAACACATGGGAGAGGAAAACAAACACCAAAACCGTCCATGGGCGTGACAAACATATTTTTAAAATGTGAGAAACAATTCTTTTTTTTCCATCTTCAGAAAAAAAGTATTAGATTCAGCACGCCCTTGATTATTACAGAGAAACTGTGCTTTAACAGGAGCAACACAGTATATGCAGATGCTGCATGTACGCTTTTTTCTTTCTTTTTTGTTAAAGGGGTCATAGGATGCCCATTTTCCACAAGTTGATATGATTCTTTAGGGTCTTAATGAAAAGTCTGTAACATAGTTTGGTTAAAATTTCTCAATGGTAGTGTAAAAAAAACACCTTTTTTACCCTGTCAAAAACAGCTCTTTTCAGATCAAGCCGTTTTTTGTAGCATTTTCCTTTAAATGTTAATGAGCTCTGCTGACCCCGCCCCTCTCTTCCGAGCTGCTCTCAGAGAGACTGTTTACTTTAGTGCCCGCTGTGCACTGATGCCAAGGGGCTTGAGCCCGTCATTGCTGTTTGCAGCTATATTTTATGCATTTAACTCATGTCACAAGAAAAGGATGACATTCCCTTAACATAGGATCTCAAGGCCACGACATAAGGATGTCTTTATCTCAACGAAATGATCTTGTGGCCATGATATAAGTGAATTTTAAACAGTTATTACACAGCTCTTTGGAATACTTGATTCTGATTGGTCAGTCGCGACATTCCGAGGTATGTTATCCCTCGATAACAACCGGTAAAAGCTGATAACACAAGCTCATCCGGTTAACTGAAGTCAGCGCTGTACTCTTGCTAGGAACAGTTTTTCTTTGTGGAAGCTTTGCGTTTGGTTAGCTCATAAAATGTTAAAACTCGATTCAATATTATGTATACAATTATTTAATTATGTCATCCTGGTATCGCGGACTCGCTCTCTCTCTCGTTTCATACAAATGCAGCTGCTGCCATTTTGAGACGATTGTTTTGTACACTGTATAAGATAACTAACATGCTGGTAAGATTTTAAAACAGTTTTGTCTTGAATCAATATCTTTTATCGCCATAATTATTTATGTGCTGATATGTTGTGTAATAAGTAGTATGACTGCACCGTTTGCCATAAATATCTGTCTAGTTGAACTTGCCGCTTGCTCACAACTTCTGTCTTCACGGAAGCTTTGCGTTCAAATATTTCAACTCAAATCAATAATTCGTGTCTAATTATTTACTTATGTGGCAAGTATCAGTGTAATAAGCGTGTTGGGGTCCTGATCACCCTGTTGGGGGTTATTCTGCGATAACGACCAGATGGATGCACATGATCCCTTACTTAATCAACTGTTAGAAGGCAACCCACAGTGCCCAGAGCCTCCTAGTGTCGCCAACACCGGCTGCCAGCAGCTCACTTGCCACCATAACCCAAGAAACAGAATCGCTCAACAACCCACAGGGCCTACAACGCCAGCAAGCTGCAGTCATAACAACTGGTTGTGCCCCTTTGGTCCAGCCGAGGATTCAGTGGCCCAAATCTTCTAAGAGAGCTGAGTGGCAACAATTTGATGAAGATGTAAGCCAGGTCCCGGAAGTAACAGCTAATGGGGATGTGGACCACCGATTGAGAACAATAACCACCCTCATAGTGAACATTGCAGCTAAGCGATTTGGAACTGAGGCATCCAAGCCTGCTCCATCGGCATATGCTCCAAGCCACAGAGCAAGGAAAATCCAGTGCCTCAGGGAAGAACTCAGGCTGCTAAAGAGGCAATACAAGTCAGCGGGGGAAGTCGAGAGAGCTGGCCTAGCAGACCTGAGAGCAATCCTAAGCAAACAACTCTTGACCTTACGGAGGGCAGAGTTCCACAGAAGGAGGCGGAAGGAGAGAGCCAGGAAGAGGGCAGCATTCTTGGCCAATCCATTCAAGTTGACCAAGCAGCTCCTTGGCCAAAAGAGGGCTGGCCGCCTCACTTGCTCCAAGGATGCTATAAATGGCCACCTCAAGGCCACTTATGGTGACTCCATTAGAGAACAACCGCTGGGTCCATGTGACGCGCTGATAACACCACCAGAGCCTTCATCACACTTCGACCTGAAGGAGCCCCGCCTAAGGGAAGTGGAGGAAGTGGTGAGGAGAGCAAGATCGAGCTCAGCACCAGGCCCAAGTGGAGTGCCCTACAAGGTGTATAAGAACTGCCCAAAGATACTACATCTGCTTTGGAGGGTCCAGAAGGTGATCTGGATGAGAGGAAAGATCGCCCAGCCATGGAGGTATGCTGAGGGAGTGTGTATACCAAAAGAGGAGAAGTCTGAGAATATCGACCAGTTTCGGGTTATCTCCTTGCTCAGTGTGGAGAGCAAAATCTTCTTTAGCATCGTGGCTAAGAGGCTCTCAAACTTCCTGTTGAGCAATAAGTACATCGACACGTCTGTGCAAAAGGGAGGTATACCAGGAGTTCCAGGTTGTCTGGAACACACAGGCATGGTAACCCAGCTCATTAGAGAAGCGAGAGAAGGTAGAGGGGACCTGGCAGTACTATGGCTGGACCTCACCAACGCCTATGGCTCAATACCCCACATGCTGGTGAAGGTCGCACTGGAGAAACACCATGTAACGCAAAAGGTGAAAGATCTCATTCTGGACTATTACAGCAAGTTCAGCTTAAGAGTCACTACTGGCCAGCTAACATCTGACTGGCACCAGCTGGAGGTGGGGATAATCACTGGCTATACCATCTCAGTGACCGCTGGCGATGAATATGCTGGTCAAGGCAGCTGAAACAGAGTGCAGAGGTCCCCTCAGTAAGTCCGGAGTAAGGCAACCGCCCATAAGAGCCTTCATGGACGACCTCACAGTGACAGCAACGGCGGTACCAGGAGCCAGGTGGATTCTTCAGGGGCTGGAGAGACTCATGACATGGGCACGCATGAGCTTCAAACCTACAAAGTCCAGGTCCTTGGTTCTAAAGAAGGGGAAGGTTACAGACAGATTCCGCTTCAGGCTGGGAGAATACCAGATCCCGTCAGTCACTGAGAGTCCGGTGAAGAGCCTTGGGAAGGTCTTCAACTGTAGACTGAGTGACAGAGACTCCATCAAGGCAGCCGGTGCTGACCTGGAGGGATGGTTGAGAACAGTTGATATGTCTGGGCTCCCTGGAAGATTCAAGGCCTGGGTCTACCAGCATGGAATCCTGCCAAGAATCCTCTGGCCTCTGCTTATCTATGAGGTCCCCATGACTGTGGTAGTAGGTTTTGAGCAAAAGGTGAGCAGCTATCTACGTAGATGGCTTGGTCTACCGCGTAGCCTAAGTAACATCGGGCTATATGGGAAAACCAACAAGCTCAGGCTCCCTTTTAGCTCAGTCAGGAAGGAGTTCATCGTTGCACGGGCACGGCAACATCTGCAGTACTCAGAGATACCAAAGTGTCCGGCGCAAGGATTGTTGTGAGGACAGGAAGGAAGTGGAGGGCAGCCGAGGCAGTCCAGCAAGCAGAGACTCGGCTGATGCACAAGGCCATCCTTGGAACAGTGGCGCAAGGCAGAGCCGGACTTGGGAGC